ACACACTGTCAAGCAGAGCTTAAGTCCTGCACTAAATGTTTCCTTGCTCCAAGGTACACAATGTACATATTTCACCATTTCTAAATAAACATTTCAACCTCGATTTATCTCCCCAAACCTCAGCTCTCTCTTAGAATATACTCCTTTCCTACATCCACAGAGGAAATATTAGCTCTCCTATTACCACACATTCCTGCTAATTCTGTGCTCGATTTCAAAGCCTCCCAGAAAATTTACGGGAAGAGCAGGAAGGGAGGAAGCCAAGCGGGTGTTTAAGGTTAAAAGAAAAGAATAACACGAAAAAGAAGAGAAAAGAAACAGAAACACCAAAGACCCACGGAGTATTCCCAGAGTCCCTCTCCCAGCCTCGGCAGGCAGCGCTCAAGGCCGTGGCTGCGGTTCCAGCCCCCCGAGCCCAGAGCGGCGGCTCCAGGGCAGGATGCGTCACGGCCGAGGTCGCGGCCAGCCCTGGGAACAGCTCAGGACAATCCCAGCCCAGCCCGAGCTCCGAGCGCTCGCTCCGTGCCGGCTGCGCCTGTGCCGCTCCGAGGAACCGCCGGGCCAGCTGCGGCCACAGCTGGCCCGGGGCACGGCCCGGCTCGCCAGCCCTTCCCCTTCCTGCCCCGAAACCCCCGCGGGCTGCGCCGGGACAGAACAACCGGGACCTGCGGGCACGGACAGAACCGGGACCGCTCCGGGCGGACAGAACAACCGGGACCGGTTCCGGGCGGACACCACCGGGATCGGCTCCCCGGGATCGGATCCCCACGGGCAGAACCATCCCGGATCTGCTCCCCGTCCCCGGGATCGCTCCCCGGCTGTTCCCAAGGCTCGAGGTCTCGGTGGGCACCGCAGAGCAGAGGAGGGACCCCTCTGCCATCCCGCACTTCTGTCCAGGTGAGAACTCCATCACCTGTCCTGCAAACGCTCTCGATCATCGCCGGGTGTTTTTAAGAACTGCCACTGCAATTTTGCTTTTTAAATCGGCAAATAAGGTGAGAAACTACGAGTTCTACAAACCACTAACACCTAATAGCCCAAACGAGCAGTTTTAACTAAGTAGCTACAGAAAGCGGTACAGAAACTGCTGTTCAGGCTCCAGCTGTGCCAGCAGACGGGGGACCCACAGGCAAGTATTCTTCTCATCTGCCTTAAAAATAATACTTTTCTTAAGCGACTACTTTTGTTTTAATTTCTGAGGAAATGTAACTATATGAAAATCATCGTTTAAAACATCAGAAAACAGAATTTAAAATAAAATAGTTGAATGACAAATGCTACTATTAAAATATAATATTACAAGGGAAAAACTCCCTTGAGACACATTTTACTACTTTTAAAAACCTAGTTTTAGGACAATGAAACTAATAATCATTAAAATGTTTTATTGACCCAGGGCTCTGGTTTTTTGGGCTAGAGTTAATTTTCTCCCAGTAGCTGGTACAGAAATGTGTTTGGGTTTGGGATGGGAATGATGCTGATTACACCCTGATGGTTTAGCTGTTGATGAGCAGGGCTTGCACCAAGTCAAGAATTTCCCAGATTCTCATGCCCTGCCACTGCAGAGGGGTACACCAGGAAAGCTGACCCACTTGTTTTTCTTGGGGTTTATCGCTCTCCTTGTTATTTGCCTTCATTACAATCTGTTATTACTATTATTATATTCTTAAACTACTCTTACCTGACCTAACATTTCCTTCCACATCCACCACTCCCTAATTCCAGTATGATAACTGATGTGAGATAGGAAGAATCTCAGTGGGGGGATTTTGAGGCTTAATTTTAAAAACTGAGTATTTGAGTTAGATCTGAAAATTATACCATGTGCAAAGAGCTCAAAGCATTGCCTACAGACTACAATCTTCTAAGGCTAAAAACGTGCTCAGAATAATTAACACTCTTGTCTAAAAATGAGAAATAAAAAGAGAATGAAAAATTTAGCTTATCAGGAAGGCAAAGGTGTAAAATTTCAGATTCAAAAGAGCATGGAGACTGTTGGACAGGAAGAAGAAACGAAACAGTTACTGGTGGTTTTAGCAAGACAGAAATGCAATTCTGCCCTTGAGGTGTCCTGACACTGCGGCCCAAGGAGCCCAAGTCTTTAATGGGAAATACAGAACCTTATCTGCTGCTGTGTGTACCTGCTGGCTCTGCTGTGTGTACCTGCTGGCTCTGTGCTCTGTGGACCTGCTGGCTCTGTGCTCTGTGTACCTGTCAGCTCTCCTCTGTTCTGTGCTCTGTGTACCTGTTGGCTCTGCTCTGTGTGTACCCGTCAGCTCTCCTCTGCTCTGGGTACCTGCTGGCTCTGCTCTGGGTACCTGCTGGCTCTGCTCTGGGTACCTGCTGGCCCTGCTCTGGGTACCTGCTGGCTCTGCTCTGGGTACCTGCTGGCTCTCCTCCCCGTGTCCTTCAGAGCTCAGTGCAGGTGCCAGGAGAACATCACAGGTGATGTCACTGATGTAAAACCTGCGGTCACCCACTGCCACCTCCTCACCTCAGCATCCTGGATTTGGCCTTTTGGAATCACGAGTGGGATGTCCTGTTAATGTGGACAGAGTCACTCACCCACCTGTCCTGCCCCTCGCTACCTGCAGCCGCAGACAGAGCTCAGTTCCAGTGTCACCAGGCTCACGAGGCCACAGCCACAGTGACAGCCACAGGTGACAGGTCCGTCCCCAAGGACACACGTGCACAGGACACTCCTCAGCCCAGGGAGCAGCCGAGTGGGGACCCGGCTCTCTGTGTCCCCTACCCCCCACACCTGAGGGGTCCCGAGAGCAGGAGGGAGGCAAAGGGAGACCCTGCGGTGGTCACTGCTGCCCTGAGTGAGCCCTCCTGGGGCCCTGCCGGAGGAGGGGACACCGGCCACGGCACATCCACACCGGCACCGGCACATCCACACGGGCACCGGCACATCCACAGCGGCCCCGGCACATCCACACCGGC